CAGTTGTGTTCCATTTGTGGTATATTTAGGTCTCTTCAGACCTGAAAGCACTCTCTCAATTCATGAAAATAGATGGAGGCTAAGTGAATATTTAAAAGGAGAAAGATAGTTATCAGAGGTGGCACTGTGGCAACAGGGACTTGGGCATCTCAGTCAAATCTGTCTTTTAGCTTACAAATCTGTGAAGAAGAACATGACAGAAAATGCATTACCAAACATACCAGTTCTACCACCCTTTCAACACCTAATCCCCCAAAAAATCAAGCCTGTTAGTCCTTCAGTCCTTTCTTTCCTTGAAGAAGAAAATGAAGGTTGAAAAAGGAAAAAAAATAAATCTCTTTATTGTCTGTGCCATTAACGTATCTAAAGTCATTGTATTAAGCATACAACAAAGTACAGTAAGTATTCTTTAATTTAGGTCTCAAAGATTAATTGATCCGTTACTACAAGAAGTGCAAAACAGTTGATTAGAAGTAAAATTGCCAGCAAAATGTGCATGTGCTGTGGTGATGGCAGTTGTGCTCTTGTGCATCCAGGCCTTTTTCCTCCATCTCAGTTCTATTATGTACAATAGCAGGGTGACAATATAAACATGATGTAGCGAGAGGATCACATGCTCAGGGAATGGGCAGCTTGTTTCATTAGCTTTTAAAAAGATGCCTTGCAATATTTCTGCAGATTTGATACTATTTGGTATTGCTTTTTTTTTTTTTTTTCCTGTATTCCAATATGAATTTCAAAGCAATAAAGTGAAGTTGTCAAGTTGTCCTTCATGGCTGCAGCTAGCAGTTGCATGTCAAAGCCTGACCTGCCTTTTTTGAATCTGACAATGAAAAATAAATAAATAAATAAATAAGTCCTCTGCAGAACAAGGAAGGGACCAAAGACTGAAGGCAGCTTTTAGCTGTTAAACAGCAGACTCGCACAAAAGGCCAGTGTGAAAACCAAGATTAATCTCCCCATGCAACATACACTGTATTTTCAAAAGTCAAGTGCTTGGGTCTCTTCACTGCCATGTGCATTAGAATGAGTATTTGTAATGTGTTGTAAAGCTAACAAGCTTGGTTAAGCAGAGGTGTGTGGTCTTTCAAAGTGTATTCCCAGGGTATAACCTCCCTCCTCAAGAAACTCATTTATCACTGTGATGGTTTCACCTCATTTGAAGCCAAGTTATTGTCACCCTTAAAATAATGTACCTTGACAGGAAAAATGAAATTCATGTGAAAAGTTATACAGTCATCACACTCTGGAGTCAAAATATAGACTATCATATCAAAACATAAAGCAGATGAAAACTTTTTCCATATATATGTTGTAGGTGGTATTTGTACCACAGCTTATTATTTTTTTTAAACTAGATGTAAGTATTTAGATCATGTGCATATGGAATAATACATGGCCTGTAGTTCACTGTCTTTAAAGGAAGGTGTACATGCTTCACAGCAGCCTTGGTATGGCAGCCAAGGCTTTTAAAAGTTAAGCCAGACTAAGAAATGTGCACATGTATTTAATAGGCAGTAACTGTTCAAATGATTGGTCACCCCCCAGTGCATGGTTATATTTCAGGTGTTGTGAGTGCGTTAAATCTTGTCCTGTCCTCTTTTGTAACTTATGTTTGCACTCTGAAGTCTCTTAAATCTCTCTCTTTTTAACCCCCCATCCTCAAAAGTCATTGAAGACCCGGGGCAGACTGGACTAAATGAAGCTCCGAGTGGAAACAGCTCCAAGTTAAACCATAGACCCTCAGATACGTATTTTCAAATCAATTTGACATCCAAAGGTCGCTCCAGAGGAGACCAGGAGCACTTTGTGCCCAGCACAGTCACAGCTGGCTCTGTGAAGCTGCGCTTTGCCCAAGTCACAGACTTTGCCTGGTCTTTTGCTCATGGTTTTTGCTGTCATTCCTTGGCACCGGGATTTGGTGGTTTTATTTTGAAGACACTAGGTTTGTTGGCATTTTTCTAGCTGAGTTCTTGCATTAATTTTGATTTTATTTTATTTTATTTTATTTTATTTTATTTTATTTTATTTTATTTTATTGTTTACCAACTAAAATATTTTTTGATCTCTTTAAACAACTATTTTTGCCTTTACTATTTTTCAAAACATTCTTGAGGATCATCTGACTTTTCTGTGAGTATGCCATAAAACATTCTCTGTGTGGCTGTACCTGTCAGGGTAAGCAAGTATTTTCTATAGCCTACATACCTTCTGTATTTCTCTTCATTACAGTATGAATTTTCAGCCTTAAGTTTGCATTTAGACTTCCAGTTAAGCAACCTGAATGTTACAACCATGTAGATCTTAATGAAGTGGCCAGATTTTTTCTTCTGATGTTTAAGGAGCAGTAAAAGAAGCTTGGAGTTGCCGTGAAAGCAACAGGTGACATCAATTATGAGAGATGAGCTACACATAAACAAAAAGGGAAAGGCGCAAACAGAAAAAAAAAAAAAAAAAAAGCAAACAAACTTTTGCATAAGAATGTTTCTCCTGCCTTTCCTACCAGTTTATTTCTGGTTTGCATGTCTTTCTCATTATCATACTCAGTCTGTTTTACCGAGTTGTCAAGCACAGAGAAAAGCAACTTGTCATCATTTTTCATTTGGATACTGACAAAATCAAAAGAAATAATTCTGCAGGGGCTGCAGTCTGGGGCACTGGGTTTAGGGGCTGCCTCAAAAGCCAGCCTGCCCTTCTTGCACAAGGCTCAGAAGCTAAGCATGAAAAAAATATTAGTTAAAATTTACAAAGCTTATTAATAAAGCTCTGATGCAAATCCTTTGTGTAAGAATATGCAGTTTTGACAGAAACATTTTGCAAGGATTTATTTTACTGGAATTTTATTCTGAAAAAAACCAGCACTTCTAACAATTTTAAAACATGCCTTAAGGATATTTTCACGATTTAATTTCATTTTTTATTCTGCAGTAATTTTTCATTTACTTTTTTCTTAGTTTACCCCATAGACATATAACATATGATCAAATTCCAGCCCACACAAACCATAAGAAAATTAAATGTTTCCATTTTGTCAATTGAAGAGCCATCAATCCAAAACAAGAAGATACTTAGGAAGCTTGGTTTCTGGAAATTATTATTATTATTTATTTAATTTTTTTGGCCGGTTTAATACACAGCTAAATGTCAAACCTCTTTGCAAAAAAAAAAAAAAAAAAAAAAAAAAAAATCTGTTTAGTTGTAACAAAATCAAGTAACTGGAGATTACAAAAACATGAGGCCTGGTTAGTAAAGGAACCACATTGCTAAAAGCTGAGCATAATACTGATAAAGAAGTTAATTTTCCAAACTGGGTCCTACTAATATTCAAAAGGATATCCTGAACTGGATATCTGCATTTTTCTTCCTTCATTATTTAAATTGTTTATCCAAAAGCTTCTTCAACACACACTAAACTTCTGATACGTTAAAGGACAAATACAGCAGAGCAAGATTTAAAGTAGTTCATTTACTGTGTGATCAATTCTAATTTATTCAACTCTGTGTAACAAGGAATGCGATGATCAAGAGATACATGTGCCATGCTAATAATAAACTCCTGATACACATTTTATTTCCAGATCCCTCTTGCATACAGTTTTCTCTTATGGAGAAAACACTGATGTTCACTTGTAAATGATTCTGTTTACTGAGGAAGATTCAAAATGGTCCTGAACTTTGAATCTATGTAAAATTTATTTATTAAAGATCTTAAGAGCAGCTGGAATGAGAAACCTTAAGTAGGGCTCAAAACCTCCCAGTGCTACAGAGCGTCTTACCAAACCTTGTGCTTCCTGAGCACCACACAAATTCAAACCTTTTTTCATGTCTTTTTCTCCACCCCTATATAGATCTTACCTGGAGCTATTTTCCTTTGCTAATCCCATTACTTAAGAGCAAGGGATAACTTAAAGCACTATATATGCCAAAGGTGATTTCATACATTTTATTGGCTAGTGAAAATAGAAACACCAGGCATAGAAATATTCAGCTATGGGGGTGTGCTGAAAACTCAAAATAAGCTGAAAATAGTAGTGATAAGGCAGAGATTATTTGTACATCTTAAACAATGACCATACAAGCTAGTGGGCATTTAAGAAATTTATCAAATTGGAAGGGCTGCTTCTGCTGCTGGGAAGCAGATGAATCAAACGCAAAATAAAAGGGAGGTATGGATAGAGGAGATTAACTGTGCTATTAAATAAACAGAAAAAACAAGAGGCATGTTGACAAAAACAGTAGAAAGTATGTTCTGCAGTCACAACCTGCAAGACACTGATCAGGGAAAGGATTTGATGATGACTGTTGACAGACACTTAAAAACAGCAACCTTACGTCTGGTAGTAGTTAGGAAAGCAAACAAAACATGGGGAAGTGTAAATAGAGAGAAACAGAGCACAGATCTCAACAGATAACTGTGTCCTGTTACAAAGGGCTGATTTGGCCACACCTGGAGAACTTCATGCTGCTTTGAGCATCATCTAACAGGAACTCAAGTGTAGGTACAAAGGAGGAGAACAAAAACAATAGCTTAGGAGCAGGCCCTTACAACTGGGAGCTTCACTCCCATACAGGACAACTAAGAGTAAAGAAAAGCTGTCTGGCAAAAAGGATTTGAGGAAAAACACTAAATCAAATAGCCCTAAATTCAAGAGGACACAAGGCAATGCAACAGAGGTGACAGTGTGTACGGTGATAATATATAGAACATACACCGACAAATACTGTGACTGCATTTCTGCAGAGCTACAGCTATTACTATGTCTGGAAGCACAGCATAATTTATTGAGAGTGTTTGGCATTGCAACGCAGCTCATGGATATGAAATTGTACATGTTGCCTACTGGGGCATGTACCATTGCTCAGAGGTGTAGTCCTGCACTGTCACATAGCAGATCTGCACTTACCCAGCCAGTGTGGATGCACTAAAGATAATTTTCTGTTGTTCAAAGCTTCCACCTGTTCCGCCAAAGGCTCAGGTGCTCCACCTTGCCCACCTCTTGGAAGTTGGAGGTGAAATATTTTTAAGTCATTGTGCAATATTGGTATTGAAGGAGTAATATTTCAGGAGGGAACTCTGCTTCCACTCAGTAACATGGTGGCTATCCATCTGATGGCTCCTACTTACCACATGTGGGTCACTTTGTGGAGCAACCTCAGAGCAAACAAACTGCATTCCTTTCAGATGAAATTAAACCTTGAGACCAAAATTAAGCCTCCAAATGCTCACAGACATTTGGTCTCTATTGAAGCTGAAGTAACCCCCTGAAATGAGAACAGTATGTATATCAGGTCCAGATTTGTAGGCAGAGCTACGAGTGGCAAATCCAATCCACTGAATTTGGAAGAATGATCATTATCTTCATTACTTTCTGTCTTTCGAAGAAAAAATAAAAAGCACCAAATGTGGCCTGAAAAAAAAAAAAAAAAATCTAAGTACTAGGCATGCAGGTCAAAGGAAACTGATAAGCCACAGAGCTTCTTTCTCTCCCAAAACGTTATTACTGTGTAAATATGAACCGTGCACATGGTTTGGCCATTTGCCAGTTCCACTTGGGTGTGAAAAGCAGCCTTCATGGTTGAAAAGCTATTTTTCTGAACCGCAAATGGCCACAGCCATATGAGAGACATCTATTAAAGACCAGGCCCAAGTAGAACCAGACATAAAAGAAGAAATAGCTGGTGGGGCTTTGGGTCACCCCTCAAGCTACTGTCATTTTTTAATAGTACTTCACAGACTTGCTGAGGGACCATCTGACACAGGCTCAAGCCTTTAGCTAGCAGCTACCGTCTGCCTACAAAATATGTTTACTCAAAGATACATCTTACTATGACACACTTTGAAAACTTCCTGCGCTTAACACAGTTTATTATCAGTGAATTTTTAGAGAGGTCCTGTCCATTAATCAGATCAGCAAAATGCCCTGGAGTGGTCTGTATTCCTCCAAAGAAGCTGCAAGAGCGGGTTATTCAAGAACTCATTTGCCTGTTATAAATACTCTGAAGTGCAGAGTGGGAGTATTGGTGGTGGAGAGCACATTAGGAGCTGATGGTGCAGCTGTGTGGTTATATTTCCCTTGACTTGTGTGGCATGGGGCTTACAAAGTATAAAGGGTAGGAAGTGAGGTGGAACTGGAATTCAGAATGATCAGGGTCTCTCTGCACTGAGAGCACAGCAAAGAAACAGCTGAGTACATAAAACCTCATAAAGAAAACCAAAACAATTATATTCCCTATTGTGACTGTTTAGTCTTTCTGTAGAGACTCATGAGGTCTAGGCTATTATCTATTTTTAATATCACTTGACCTGAAAATTTATGCTACCATCTGGAGAATGTGAGGATTTCTGTGCTACAGACTTAATACTGTCAGGGAAAGAAAGAGGGGGGCAGCAGGGGACGTACGTTACAAAAATGTTTAAACATTATTCAGCAAATGCCACTCACTTCTTTACATTTTTTTTCTGCAGAGAACTTAAACAAAAATATATATCTTAAATTGCAAAATGTAAAAATGTAGATTGAGATGTGAATTCCTGTATATTATCTCAGATAATATTTTCTTTACATTTCTTTCTGTTTTAAGACTTTCATTAGCTTAGGAAAATAAGGTAAACTTTCAGAGGTTTGCTGCTAATTTGTGTTTTACATAATGAATTAGAAGTACTAAATGAAAAAGGAAGAACAAAAGGCTATTTAAAATCTTTGGAATATTCTTCTTTTACTACAATTATCATGCTTTCTTTCTGGGATCATCTCCAGATAAGGAAGTGAGGATTTAAATCACAATATTTAAATGTCAGAATAAATATGCTCCACATTCATTGTTTTCATCTTTAAGCATTAAATGATCACACTTCAAAACTTCTCTGAAAACCAGAGAGCTGGAAACCCTGTACTAATTGCTGCAATATTAACCAAATGACCAATATCATTAGACTTGCAGCAAAGTCAGAAATAATAACAGATCTGTAAGACCATGAAGAACACTGCACCACAGCAAGCTTAGTCTGGGGGGAGAGGACACTGGTCTCTGTCTACTGTAACTCTGTCTCTGTCACTGGCGGTCCCAGCACCACTTGCAGTGGTCACTGCAATATCTCTGTCTCATCATATCTCAATATCTAGGGAGCAATTTTTTGCCCACATGCTGGGTGACACAAGTGGTCCATCCTCACACTGCCCAGTGCAGGATCCCTCCAGTGCTCACTGGCCACCCGTGGATGCTTCTGGGCCATTGTGGCTCTACATATATTTACCTGATTTTTTGGCAGGATTGGAGAGAAGGTCCTATTTCAGTGCATCTGAAATAACGTGAGAGTTGTGCTGCAGCCCACCAACGTGGTGCTTGTATGACATAAAACTGAAGGTATGTGCCATATGCCCTAATGTGCAAGGCTGTTTAGGGTGCATAGCTTGCTGGCACAGCGTCAAAACCTGTGCAGGATGTAGGAAATCAATTCTGATACAGTCTTGCCCATATTGCAGACTGGGGTGGATTTTTAAGGTAAACTATCTCCTGAATTACACTGATGATTTTTCTTGGGGATGGCTTACTGGAGCACCTCAAAATAAAACCATAAAAGAAACAAATAATTTTCAGCATGAACAATCAAGAGTCAAATACCTGAGTTTGTTCTCTGTTCCTCTTTTCTCAAAGCCTTGACATACCCAAGAGCATTCAAACCAGTAAGGGAGAGGCTTAGCAAAGCTGTCATTCTCTTTCTTTGCCTCCACTCCAAAATAAGTGAGCCTGTTAATGAAAAGGAAAGTGGTGGCTAGCACAAGGCCCTTGCACATTTTGGATTGTAAAAGGATATCCTAACCAAACTACAGTAACATCAATCATAAAGTAACGCATTAGGGCACAGCAATAATAATGTTGTATTTGTCTGATATTAATAAGAAACTGAGTTAAGTTTCCAGAAACGGAAAAGAGTAAAAAAATAAATAAATAAAATCTGCATTTTTCCATGTTGGCTGTCATAATGTGTGAAACTGAAGAAAGAGTTGTAGACAAGCTGACCTCAGAAATCAAGATATCCTACGATTCTATGATTCTAAGTCTAAACCAAAATTAATTCAGCCTTTGTGAAGGAAATGAAAAATGCTGCATGACCATCATGGCAATAAGTTCAAAAAGCATATATAATATTCTCCAGTCAGGATCTTTAAGTCTTCCTCCCTGCACACACATCAATGAAAATCAGCTACATTTTTAGAGGTCATGGTAGCACCCTGCAAAGCTTACTAAAGGAAGAGGTGTATTTCAGTACTTCTGGAGGTTGGGAAATATATTTTGAGGTCCAGCATTTGGAGATAGCCTTTGGGAATCATATCATACTCTTCAAGACCAAATCTTAAACCATTCATGAAATTATACTGTTTAATAACAGGATCAAGGCTATACAGCATTGAAAAGCTGGTTCAAGAAATCAACAAACTATGCAAAGGAATTATTGATCTCTGTATCAATTTTAATCAAACTGATCATGCTGTTCAACTGATCAAACAGAGGCCATGCTGTTATTAATGGAGCCCCATGGGATAATAGAGAGACATTCTGAAACCCAAAGTGATCTCTTCCTTGGATCTCTTTCTCAGATTCCTTCCAACTGTGGCTGCTTCCTGCCCTGTCTACTCCTGTTAACCTTCAGCCCCTTTCTTCACAGCAGCTGCTGGGGCTTAGGCATATTTTCTCCTTTTTTTCATGCCCCTTTCACCCTGCCTTTGCTGCAGCTCTAGCTCATACACCCAGATTAAAGGGTGGGAGAGTAGCGGCAAAGTGCTGTAATTGAACAAGAGGCCATACATTATGAAATTGTCCGGTGACACAGTCTAACTATTCAAGTTAAACAGCTGATCTTCCTTATCTAAATAAATTTGCTAGCTGGGAGAATAAGATCTTACTTGTTTGCAGCCATGTGCTGCTCAGGAAATCTGGCCATTACAGTATTGAAACAATGCTGATGCTTGAATCGCAATAAGATATTAAATCTTTTCTTAAATCTGTGAGGAAAAGTTATTTTGCTCAGAATGTTCATCCAGCTGCAAACACTAAAAACACTGCATCTGTCACCTTCCTCTTAGTCCTAAGGTCAAGGCTTTGTACAGTGTAATTTTTAGTGTTGTGATTTTGATTGCACATCTGACTCACAACCTGTTCTGGAAACTTGTAACTAGATATCCCCAGAGAGTTCAGTAAGCAAGATAGCAAACATTCTGGATGCTCTTTACAAAACAGGAGGAGTTTTACACCAGAATTTAACCATCCTGTTAGACATTTTCCATACATTCTGTGTTTCCTATTGAAAAGTAATGATGCAGGACAATGCTATCTTGTTATTCCACTTGGTAGTAGAGTGAAGAAAGCCTAGACCAGAGCTCCAAAATACACCACTGTATATCAAGACTGTATACTTATTTATTTTCTCACTATACTCCTACAAAATCTTGCAGTGGAAGAGTTACCAGTAAAGTGCATGTAGAGCCAAGCTTTGTTGTCATTTTCTATGCCAAGGTCTCTGCCAGAGTATGTACAGAGGCATTATTTCTTATTTCCATTCACAAAAAGTGAATCATCTGCAGAGTGTGTGCATCATAATCCTCTCTGAATATCAAAACACATTCCCAAGAGTTCTTACTGGGAGTTACTAATGTGATTAATGTGCTCCTGCATTGGCCATTTGTTTAACTGAGTATCACCATCGCATTTTGCACCGACGGTTCGCTCCATACATAGATGTTCATTGTTCTGACTCCAGGCTTTGTTCCCTGCTTTCACACATTGAGAAAGTTTTCCACAAACTGAGTGTTTATGTGTTGAGTGCAGTACTCCATGGACTTTAGGGTCTAATGGAGTGTGAGAGGGGGCCTGTGGTTTTTCATCTTGTTTTCAGCTGTACAAACATCATGTACTTTTCCCTTCCTTTTAGAGGCCAGTCTATGGCCTACTAAAACATCAGCGCACAGCAACATAGTGGCTGAGACTTTACAAGTCAAACTGGGAGGACCTGATGCCATTCACCTTAACGCCAAACATATTGACAGTGTTTATTTTCTCTGCCCCAGACTCAGCTCTCAAATAAACATCTCAGTGGCTGATTTTCAGTGCTCCTCTGAAGAAAAGCCTTAAAGAGTATCTATCTCATTGTTAATAACAAGTATAACCTGCTCTCAGATTAAAACTGCTGGGGGGGAAGAGGCATGTATAAACAAAGGAAGAGATGAATTTCTCTCTTGTAAGCCTTTTTAAAAATTGGTATTTTTTTTCAAGACCCTTTTTGATACAAGCAGAGTCCTTGCTTTGCTTTTACACTTTACACTTTGTGAAGCCCCAGAGGGACCTGAACTAGGTTGGTTGGTACTTTGTATATTTTTTAGCGTGTGCACCTTGCCTCTGGGGAAAGCAATTCATTAAATTGCTATTCTGGGTCGATGACATACAGATTTACTTTTCTCTTCATCAAGAAAATCATGGAGCTGCCTAGGAAAAAAAGAAAAAAAATCTGTCTCTTTAATACAATATCTCATAGATGTGTTTAAGCCTTTAAATAAGTGGCATGGATGTAGTAATGCAAAATTCTACCTAGGATAAGAAAAATCCTATCCAAAATCTGAACTCATAGCACAAAGACAACTCCAGAAAGAAAACCTCATTAGCTCATGCTTCGCAACAAGAGCAACAGGCAATTTAAAGCCTTTTTGAATGGAAACTTTTATAAGATGTTCAGAGAGAGCTTAGTGAATACAAAAGGATTTCACACTGTTGATTGTTAAACAATGAACATACTTTGTAATGAGTACTAATTTTAATATTTGTCTGCACTCTTTTCTATATCCAGATTACTTCAGTAGTACCTTTGTACCCTTTCAAACATGTTCATATACCTATGGTAAATAACTAATATGAATTGTGTACACAAACCTTTTGACTGACTATGGAATAGTTGCATAATTGCATGTATAGATTGCAAAAAAAAAAAAAAAAAAAAAAAAAAAAAAGTGTCTGAAGTTTGTTGTTAAATCATAGTTCCTATATTCATGATTGTCTTTTATGTCTTTTTGCAGGGACTATTGATGCAGGAGCAAGTCAGAACACTGAGTGACTGTCACCACCATCATTTGTGCCTTCATATTTTCCCAAGTCTCTCTGGAAATGATACAGTTCTGTAAGTACTTTTGAAGGTAATCAGTTCTAAAAGAAATTAATTTAATATAAAATGTAAACCTCAGTGTTATTTCTATGTGTTTTGTTAACTGAAAAAAAAAAATAATAATCTATTGTAGAACCAGGATCCCACAATACTAGACATCTGCACTAAGATAATATTTCTTATACTTCCAGGGCTAAGGCTTTGGGAAACAACCAACCACAGAGACAGATTTCATAGCAATATGGCATCCAGTAAAACCAGAGTTAAAGTAATTTGGAGATTCTGATTCTACAATTCAGAAATTTTAAAAATAATAGAAAGGAAGGAAGGAAGGAAGGAAGGAAGGAAGGAAGGAAGGAAGGAAGGAAGGAAGGAAGGAAGGAAGGAAGGAAGGAAGGAAGGAAGGAAGGAAGGAAGGAAGGAAGGAAGGTTGGTTTCTGAATCTTTGGTCAAAGCCCTTCCCTGGGAAGTTGGATGCACATTTGATGCATTAAGGGTTCTTGCTGATGCAGTACAGAACAACTGCTTTAACCCTTGCATGTGGTGTTTTTTATAACAGATTCCTGACTTCCCTACTTAAGAAGAACATGTTTTTAGGAATGGATTTGTAGCAGGTACTTCTCAGACACCTGAGGAATTCTGCCTTAACTATGCCAGGGACACAATCTGAGAACAGACAAACAGGTAATAGGAGAAAAATAAATGAAAATATTCCTGGAGTGTTCAAGGCCAGGTTGGATCTTGAACCTGATCTTGTGAAAGGTATCCTTTCCCTTGGAAAGGAGGTTAGAATGAGATGTTTAATGGATTCCTTTCAACTTAAAATGTTCTATGATTCTGTGAAACTATTTAATACAAGTTAATTGGACATACTCAAAACTAAGCTCAGAAATATTGGAATAAACTATACACATGCAAGAAGCTGTTTGTTTGGCATACCTGATAGAATTGACAGAATATGATAGGTTAGTGAGGGATAACAGTGAGGCTCAACTAGAAGAAACAGGCTAATAAAGTCTTTTAAAAGTGGTCACAGTAGGTCAAGTTTTTCTTCAGATATTTATTCAAAAAAAATGTGCATAAATGCAAAAACATATGTGATAGAATTAATTTTCACCCCTATTCCTTTTCCCATAAACCCTGCCTTTGTTTTAATGGTTTCCACTTTCTTTTTATTTTATTTTTTTTTAAATAGAAACACCAATAATACTGGCATTCAGACCCAAATCTTTCAAACTCACTGAGTATTGACATGTTGGTAATTAAGGTCTCAGATCTCCTGTTGTGACTTTTATTAAAGTTAATTTATATCTGTCAGATCCTTGCAGTCTACCAGAATTCTCACTAGGGATACTTGAAGCAGCTTTCTCCCATCCTCATTAATTGTGTGTCATTAATCTGATAATGTATCATGGGCAATTGATAGCCCTAGAGTCTAGTACTTTCAGTTCAGGGCTTCTGTAATTGGCAAGAGCTATTTAAGAGCAAGCACATTCATCTAGACCCCAGGTGAACACATACAGATCCATGCAGCCATAGCCTACTTTGAGGATTTACTCTGATTTCAGGTGCACAATTTTACTGTGACTGAATTCAGGTATTTTTTGAGTATTACTGCTAAATTTGGCTGGAATTTCCACTCTGACTTGAATATTTTGGAAAAGTTGAGCTAAGATTTCCAAAATGGCAGATGCAATGAAATTGTATAGCTGTGACAATAACACTTTTCAAAACAGTATTAGAAATCTCTTCTTTTCACATCCAAATAAGATGTTTTCCAAAATCTCATATTTTTTTCCTGCTGCCCAGGAAACAGCCTCTAATTACACTGTTTAAACCTTTCAAAATTTGTCTATCCCTCACATTCAAAGCTGAATGACTGTAATGCCTGCATGCAGCAAAAATAGTTTAAAAAAAAAATAGCAGCACAAGAAGAGTTTCTTATTTTCAAAAGTCACATGTATTATTGTTTTTTCCTAGTAAGTCCTGTTATGTAGGAAACTTAGGTTTCATAGCTGGGCACAAACTGGACCTGCTTTCAGTGAGACACATTAGAAGACACATGTTAACATCTTCAGCCACTGGTAGCACAGAAATATCCTGTGCTGTAATGAGATTAGCATACAATGAACACATCCAACCAAAAAATTAGGATGGCATGGGAAATTACTGCTTAACATACCTAAGGAGGTTGCAGAGATCTGCAGATTGCTCGTGACCTTTAAATTCTTATATACAGTGTCTTTTGGATATATTTCACTACATCCTCGCTTCCTTTGCTGGGAGGTGAAGAAAGGAGAAAAGAGAATGTATTTCCAACATTCTTTGCTTCTGGTGTCTTCAGTGGCAATTTTTTAAGCTGAGATTGAGCCTCAGTCTAAAAGCATGAAAAAACTGACCATGGGCCAGTGTGTAAAGGACCACTGTACTCATTACATGCAGAAACCAGACTCTATATACACTTCTTATTCCCAGGAAGTAAATAATAATCCCCATCAACAAATTAAAAGTGTGTCTGATGTAAAAACTCCCTGAAGCACAACATCTGTCCCTGCTTTAAATTTTCTCTGTCCTAACACAATCAATGGCAAGTACCTGATAAAGTGTTTGGATCATTTTATTTTATTTTATTTTTGAAGGAAACTGTGGCACTGGCAGGGATATTCACTTTAAAGTTAATTAGGGATTTGGAGTGTCCTTTTGATTCTTGAAAAGCTCTACTCACCAGCAACTTCCCACTGTTTTCCCTAAGGCCACTTGGAAAACAATTTTACTGGTTTTCTACCCACTAGTTCTACAGTTTCTTACTGTGGACATAATTAATTTTCAATTCCTCTGATGCCAATGTGAATCAGTCTTTAGCTGAAAGATTTTTGAACCTGGCTGTAAATGAAGGGGCTGATTCTACCCAAGGTGATATTCATTTTCTTAAGTAATTCTTATTTGCTTTCAAATCCTGCTCTAAGGCATCGGTATACGATGACATATATCTACCCTTCTTCCAAATAATAACTAAAGATATAGTGCATGAGTGGGGAATGGGTGAGGAGGCCTGCAAGATGGAGTCATCATCCTTCCCAGGGACTTCTACAGAAGGACCCACACCTCCACTGTGTGAGCAGTGAGATCCCACCACTTCCACTACCCAAGGAACAATGTAGCCACAAGTCTTAGGCACAGTTGCTTTCCCCAGGCATATATGCAGCACTCTGCTAGGACAAGACCCAAAGACAGCTTTCATTTGGCAGCTTTCACCCTTCCAGTGTTTCACGCGATTAACATTTCATTTGTGTCTCCCTACCCATGTCTAGAGCTGGACTCCACCACACAGCATACAGAGGTCGTGTAGCAGCCTTCCATCCTTATCCCACAGAGGTTCCCCATCTCACCAGAAACAGTCTTCTTCACTTTCACATTTATTATTCTGTTGTTTGTTTTATGTTTGTTCCTTTTTTTTTTTCCTTTCTTCTGGAACAGAGTATTTCACAGAAAATCAGCCACCATTTCTAGTGTTGTTATTAAAATAATAATAATTAAAAAAATCACAACTTTTGTGCAAGATTTGGTATTCAGGGATTCAAATAGAAGCAATTTATTTCAAATTGATGTAAAACCACAGTATCACAGATCATAGAACGGTTTGGGTTGGAAAGGACCTTAAATATCATCCATTTCTAACCCCCCTACCATAGGCAAGGACACCTCCCACCAGACCATGTTGCTCAAAGCCTCATCCAACCTGGCCTTGAACAACTCCAAGAATGGGGTATCGACAGCTTCTCTGAGCAACCTGTTCCAGTACCTCACCACTCTCATGATAAAGAACTTCTTCTTTATATCCAATCTAAACCCACCCATCTTCAGGTTAAAAACATTACCCTTGTCCTTGGCAAGTATTATTAACATAATTGGAAATAGTTTAATTGCAGATGGAAAAACACACTGTATTTTTTCATGTTTTCTTTTTTCAGGGGTTCATACATTTTCCTGAAGTTTCATGTATTTCATGTGCTTTCAGGTTTTTGTTTTTGTTTTCTCTGCTCCTGCAGCAAGGAGATGCATTTGTTTAATAAAGAACAATGCTACAACATGTCCTAATTGCCTGAAATGAAGACTGGTTCATATTGTATGCTCGGCTGTAAAACTAACTTTTGAACACATGCACCGGCTACTTTTTCACTGAAGTATTTAATTTTCATTTAAAGATCAATAATAGGACTTCCCAATGGAAATGCTGACAGATTCCTGACTGCACAGTTTCTGGCCAAGCATCTTTTTCATATCGTGTCTTAAAACAAAATGGATCACAATTTTTACGCATTGAAAGGCTAATTCTTGTTCTCATTTAGAGGGTTTGTTTTGGCCAGCACATGGGCCTTTATAAGCACTGCAAAATCACACTGTGACTATAACTTCCACTGTGACAAGAGGAGGCCTTACTCCGGAGAGTGCAGACCCAGCTTTGTTCTACCATACCCAGCTGAGGAGCCAGCATTGAGGGCAATGGATGTTGTTTAAATTTTGAGAGGACACTAAATTAATTTCTGATTTGTTAGACCCCCTAAGCTGAGTGTTGTTTTTAAAAGAAGGAGTCTGGGACTTTATTATGAACAATGTATTATACTCTGGAGCAATTACACTATACAGCTATTCTGTTTTGCATTTCATGTGAGACTCTGGAAACAGCAAGTGAACTACATCAAGTAACAACAAGAACTGAGGTTATAACAGACTTATCCCATGTTCAGACCTGCCTGAAAAACATACAACAGCATGTTTTGTCTCCAACAAAAAGCCCCCAAGATTTAGTTACAACTTCAAATAATTCCATACTGTCTCTCCATCTCTGGTTCCCAAAGTATAATTTTCACTAGCTTTAAAAGCCTTTTTTTACAGGCTTTATCTTTTGTTCTTGCACTGTATGCAGGGTCAAACATATAACTGGTGCTAAAGTGAATATTCATAATAATAATCAGAGAGTGGGAAAGATACTAACTGTTCAGTGGGGTAAACAGGAATACCATCTCTTCTCATGCAGGGGCTGCTGTATTGTTTTCCTGTAACTCATGACATCAAAGGAAGCCTGTAAGCTTCAGAAAGTTTCTTCCTTATTTCTAGATTACAATTATTTTCACTCCTTTATTTTCACAGAGCTCATGAGCTCATAGGAAAACATTACTTTTTTTTTTTTTCCAAAGCTTTTTGTTTTGGTATTTCACCTACCTCTTTTACATAGTGCACTCTCATTTCTCTTTATCTGGACGTAGGAGTTTCACTGTGCATCCATCATTTCAGTCTTGGTCATTCTTCTTGAGCAACTAGATCTCAAGAGAATAATTATTAATGTCAGTGATTATTACACAACAGCTGATAACAACTTCAGCTAGCTTACTCGATACTTTCCATTAAGTCAAATATTTGCCAATGTTTTTCAAGAGGCATCAGCACCTTTCCTTCTTAATACTTGTCAGAGAGAACCAAGTTAAATTAAAGTTAAGTTTCTCTTTACCAGAGAAAATTCAGCTTAGTCCTGACTGTGGTGAAAGAGCATTTATGAGGAATTAGCTTTTTCCTGCTTTAATTTTGGGTATTGAGGAGAAAGAAGGAAGGAAGGAAGGAAGGAAGGAAGGAAGGAAGGAAGGAAGGAAGGAAGGAAGGAAGGAAGGAAGGAAGGAAGGAAGGAAAGGAAGAAGGAAGGAAGGAAGGAAGGAATGGAATAGGAAGGAAGGAAGGAAGGAAGGAAGGAAGGAAGGAAGGATAAGAAAGAGAGAAAAGAGAGAGGGAGAAGAGGTGGAAGGGAGAGGGAGAGAAAGGGAAGGGGAAGGGAATAGGGGAAGGGGAAGGGGAAGGGGAAGGGAAGGGGAAGGGAAGGGGAAGGGGAAGGGGAATGGGAAGGGGAAGGGGAAGGGAACGGGGAAGGGGAAGGGGAAGGGGAAGGGGAAGGGGTAAGGGGAAGCAGGGGGGGCGGGAAGGGGAAGGGGAAGGGGAACGGGGAGGGGAAGGGAAGGGAAGGAAGGGAAGGGACGGGGAAGGAAGGGAGGGAAGAAGGGGAAGGAAGGGAGGGAAGCGGAAAAGGGAGAAGGGAAGGGAGGGAATAGGGAAGGAAGGAAGGGAATCCGGAAGGAAGAGGAAGGGCTTCCGGGAAAGGAAGGAAGGAGAAGGAGGGAAGGGAAGGGAAGGAAGGAGGGAGGGCGGGACGGGAAGGAAGGGAAGAAGGAAGGGAAGGAGGAGGAAGGGGAAGGGAAGGAAGGGAAGGGAAGGAAGGGAAGGGAAGGAAGGAGGAGGAAGGGAGGGAAGGAAGGGACCTGGGGAGGGGAAGGGAGGGAAGGAAGGAGGGAAGGGAAGGGAAGGGAAGGGAAGGGAAAAACATTGCTATTGCACTTTCAAACTGTACCCAACAGATCATTTCCGCTCTCGGAAGTGGAAAAAACACTCCCATATATCCAGTAAGCAGTATTTATTTCAGTTGGAAAAAGTATGTACTCAAAAGTCAGGAAATGCCAGCTTACAGTTACCCTGTCTATCAATACATGAACATTGACTGCTTCTCCATGGAATCTCTCCATGTTCACTAGAAGGGATTGATACACAGAACAGAGTCAAAGCTTCTTGCTTATTGAAGAGCTTGATTTTGCAAACAAAACAGTATCTGTACCTGGGACACTTTGTCACTTTGTAATGCAGTTAGGATACACAAGATAAAAAACAAAACCAAAGGCAGTTCAAGGCATGTGGCTGGTGACTTGTGCCACAGCACAAAACCTGAAATGCACATTTTACATGTGCAGGTTAGATGGCAAGGTACTTATGTCTGACCACCCTGTGACAGCAGAGCAACAGGAATGGTGTTGCAGATGAGCATCCAGGAAGTAGGGTCAACAGAGATGAATAAAAATAAGGCTGCATGTGTGTTGCAGATGTTACTGGAGCCCTGGGTTCCTGATCCCCTTGTTTGTTTGCTTTTAAAATAGCTACGACTTTCGTAGTCCATGATTTTTCAGCTTTGTGTATCCATGAGTTTTCAGTATGTGCAAGGGCATTAGTAAGATGATGGTGGTGCAGATATGCATAACAGTTGCACCAATTTCACCAAAACTGAAATTCTGATGCTGCATTTCAGGTTAGCTAAAAAAATCTACCAAGTATGAGGATGAAACAGCTTTAAGAGGGACTGAGACTTCTTGTATAACTTTAAGAAAACATTGGTCAGCCTTAACAGTGGAGTATCAGCAGAAGAAATCTGCAGGCAGGGAGTTATGTAGAAATTTTAAATGCAGTTGCTGTAAATTTGGACATTTTGAGAGAGGTTTTACTTACTTGTGTTGAAAGGAAATTAAAAGAGAACATTAAGAATTGGGTTTCTCATCTAGAAAGATGTGCTTTGGGGTAAGTAGGTGAATACAGATATTTCAAAACACACTTTGTAGTACTGCACTTCTAACCATGTATAGCAACAAAGAAATGAGGAGAATGTAAGACGTGTGATTATAAATATAAAGTATTGCTTCCCATCTGTATCCCTCAAATTCAGCGTATTGGTTGGTAATGTGTACCCAAACCACTATCTTCAACAGCCTGAAATAAAGTAAAACATCACTGTCCAAAGCAAAGTAAAAAGACACATTAGAAGACCTTCTCAATTGCTTTAATTTACATTTAAAAGTTTGAAATTCTGACAGATTTTTTTTTTTTCCTTGAAGTGTTATTCCATGACTTTATATTATCACCTATAAGAAATTGTTGTGGATGGCAAACTTTAATCTGCTAGCATCATTCATTTCTCAATAAAGTCATGTAGAACCATATTTGGTGACAGTCTCTTCTCTTTTCCTTAAGCTTGAGCTGACTTAGAATAAGTAAGCAATGAGTTTCTGAGAATTGATTTCTCAGAACAAATCCGTACTTGCTTTTGTTTGTATATTGTTCTGCAGGCAGCTGAAAATACTTTTAAACTATATAATCTCTCAGAAGTATCTGTCATTGGGAGTTTCAGAGACCAATAGATCAGATATAGTTAAAAAGCAAAGAAAAGCTACCTTTCAAAGCAGTGTACCCAGTTCGACTTCTGCAGATGCATTCACCACATCTTCTATACCCTAACTACATATTTCTGTGAGTTGCCTATCCTTATTTTTGTTAACTTATTTTGTAAGTATTATATTTAGCCTGAACACCCGTAAGACAAAGCCTGCATGGTTATCCTCCTAGAAATCATTAGCAATGCCTGGGCCCAGTTCCCAAAGACTAAACTCTTCTATTTCCATCAGAGAAAAGAGGAGTCCAGAAGCCTTCCATGTGAATCTCCATGAAATTCTGCAAACTTCTCATTTGTCTATCAAACGCTTTTTACATGCAGTGTGTCAGCACCTCATATAACGTTTTTGCAAGTAAAGTCACACTAATATATACATGGCTACTTCATCATTTACCGGCTTCTGAGTACACGCAAAAATTCAATTTTAGATTAAAAGCACAGTCACTATGAATGCAAATGCAGTGGGCTGTTGTGGTCCAATATACAATCACTCACTACAAATGAAGATTTTTCTATTGTTGTATCCTCCCAAGGAATAAGAGAATTGATATAGAAATCTAACGTCATGTCAATTATGATGTCTGAAATAGCTACTAGGTGTGTCAAAGGAAAGAGCAACTCCCCCAAAAACAATGGAGTAATGACAATGAACAATACTCCTGCCACAACAATGATTTTACTAAAAAGCACATGTAGCTTCTACCTTATTCAAAGCACTACTGCCAGACAAAAACAGGAACCACAGTAACAGGACATCTACAGTCATTTTGGGACCCAAGCTCAGTTCTGTTGGCTTTGATATCATTAGTTTTTTAGTGTTATTACACTTCAGTGTACTCATTCTTTCTATGCACTGGCCTTATCTGAGATCAGAAAGAAGACTTCCTGTATTGTAATCTTCAGTGAAAAGACTCATCCTGCCTGCTACATCCCAATGGTTGGCTACACTGTCATCAGTAAAAGACAAAACAAGTCCCTAAAAGTTCCCTACTGAAAAGTCTCTAGTGAGAAAAATGTTTAGCAGCAGACATACAAATAGTTCTCTTCTGAAACTAATGTTGAAGCTGAGGCCATTGCTACCTCAGCTTGTCTCTGCTCTCCTTCTGCTCCATGTAAGCATTTCTCATGCAGTTGCTTCCTCAGTCTGACTGAGAAAGGAAGGCTGACTGATACGTTGCTCATCCAGTAGTGTTTTACAAATTGACGTGATATGTTTGGTGAGCTCACTTAATCTTAGCACGGAGTTTTCAGGAGGTGATATCATCCTGGGACCACAATGCAGGCAAACACTTAATCATGTTTAATTCCTTTCCAGTTCAGCAAAACCTTGAGTCTATTTCCTTTAATGGAATTTGAGAATCTTTTTGAAGTTAATGGCTCTATTTAATAAATAAATAAATAAATAAATAAATAAATAAATAAATAATGGTTAACCTGGACAATTTCTTTAAACTACATTAATCTGAATTTTGAGGTTATATTTTAAACCCCCAAATAAGTGAATAAAATAGGCAAGCAATTTCTGTCTAACCTTGCTTGCTAGCTTGGATCAAGTAGTTAGGTAACATCCATTCCAGAAGGGACTTCCTCTGTTCATTTCACAAGAAACAACTAAATTGAGTCACAATTGACTTTGCAAAACCCAACAAAAAGAGAAATCTTAGCAACAATAAGAAGAGCAACAGTATTTGAGCTGATGTTTTTGTTTAATTCAAAGCAAATTTTCTCAGGACAAGTTTTGGGGATTAAGTTAGCTTGTTCAGCTGACAGAAAAAAAAAAAAAAGTGCAGCAGTGCAGCAATTCCTATATATTTCCTTGTTTTTGATTTATAATATAATATAAATTGCATAAATTATGCCTTGCAAGATATCAAACATCATGTCACACAGACAGCCCTTAGCTGAGGAAAACTGGCATCCGCTTGTCCGACTTCACAAGTAAGAGAAAGTATAAATAAAGCATAAATGATTAATTTAACCTTCCCTCCCTGCCTCCCGTTAACAGCTCAAGGACCCACAGCACACTGTGCTCCTGTGATGTACCAGTGCGGTAGAGCCTTCAAGACTGTGGCTAACCCCTTTCCAAGTACAAACACCTGTAAAAACAAAATTAGCCCTGCCAATATGTCTAAGAAGAAATGCTTTCCAGTAGGTTATAGATATAATATTCACCCCATTCAGGAGAATCCAAACAAAACACAAATGTCTTATTGGGGCAAGAGGATATTAAGAATAATAGACAGATTATATGATAGCTTATTGAAGGCAAAGGAAGAGACATTAGTCATAGTTTTGTTATAAAATGAGACTTAATCAAAGAGGAGTGGGTTAGAGGTCATGTGTTCTATTTGTGCTATTATTATTTTTAAATCATTGAGACTTCCATGAGTGGCAAAAGAAATGATCCTGAACAGTGAAAAACAAGCCAGACCTCACTGGAGCACTTCAAGATGAGCCAAGAGAATCCACCGCACGAGCCCTGCTGGCTGTATGCTAATCTTCTTTTTATGTCTTTTTAACAAGAGATGATTGGGATCTAGGATCCCCTACACCAGAGAAGTTTGTCTCAACAAATCACTAGGCTGGCTGGGATATGGGTAGTGACATACAGCAATATTAACAGAATATAACTTACCATGGAAGCAACATTGTTCTTATATGTTTTGTTTTGTTTTCTCTCCTCCCCCAATCATTTTTTAATAAAATAAAAATATTTGTTCAATTTATACTCTAAGTTCTTTTGCATATTAATTTCCAGATATCTATTTTGATACTTAATAGTGAGAGGCCAGAGAGAGCAGCTCAAGACATTCTATAACACTGAACATATGCCATTTACTGTAATAACCATGCAATTACATGGAAAATAAATTTTAAAAAGTGCAACCGTAACTGCACCTATATATTTTGTATGCACAACTAAATTGTTATAATTATATTTCAACTATAAGCCCATACATGAATTTACTCTAGAAAAAATGACATTTTAGAGCACTCAGATGAGTATAGTATGTAATGTAATTACATATAGTATAATTACAATATAGTATGTAATGCTATTGAAAATGGACTACCTTTATTAAATGGCATTAACACTAAGGTCAGAATAAAAAATAAATAAATAAATAAAACTTGTGTTCCTTTTGTCACTAATGGAAGCTCAGTGATTTAAAAAGAAGAGTGGCAAAAAGATCTTAAAATACTTGATAGCTATTACCTTTCATATAAAAAATAAATTTTCAGAGATGACTCAGTGTTTTAGTAAGAAAAAAATATACAGTGAAAAAATCTTCACATGAATTTACCTTAACTCATCGCTGATGTACCTTTCTCTATTTACATTTTAAAAAACAACTGCAGAACTTGCAACTTTACATTGTATTTTGCTTCCACAATTTCCAAAACTATGTGCATATTGAAGCGAGGGTGCCTCTTCCACTATGCAGTCTATATTTTTCTTTTTCTATTTTACACAGTTACTCTAAACTACTTTCCCATGCAGCACACTTTGGTGTCAATAACCATCTACCCAGGCTCTCTGCTACATCTGCTTTATCTACTGGGTGATTGTTACATCATGAAGAATAAGGATATCAAGTTTACCCGCATTAGTTCATTCATTTTAAATTCATAGTCTGTTTTCTTGCTTTGCTTTATATTCTAGATCAAGGGTGGTTCAAGCCTCCTGGTCTTATGTGCCATACGGTAAAGTCATCATGCAGCTAAGTGCCACAAGGCAGAAATCACCTACCCTTCATAACTGAGGGACAAAGGAGCTTCTGCACAGGTAGGAGGTGACTGGGCCCTCCAGTCCTTCCCATCTGATGTGGAGGATCATTGTTTTTGATGGGATGTCCAGGTCATCACTCCACCAACTCAGACGCATTTACAGTTCCATTTCAGCAATTATATCAGCACATGCAGCTCCACAACTGTTTACCCAGGGCTATTCTTTGTACCAGCTCTGTCCCACTACCATTTTAGTCATACAGCCTCATCTGGCAGCCACTTTTGCACAGTTCATACTCTGTACTTTACCATCCTTGCTCTAGCTGCTTAGGGTAAACCTCCAGACAGGACTTAAGTCAGTATTGCAGAACTCAGTTTGCTTTCCTGATGCAATCCAGCTTAAAGTCCTGTGCAAACCATGATAATGGTTGGGCACCTATAAAAGTATAAAGCCAATATTCCAATTCAGTTGTTTAATATAAAAATTCTACAATCTGAGGTGTGCTTTACCTTTGACCCCTCTATAGAGTGTTGATGCTTTATTCAGCTTCAGCATGTTCCTCCTTGAGTCTATGTGAAATCTTCAATCTGTGTGAAATGTTGGCAAACCCATCTCACACAACTCTAGAAGATTAAGTATTACTGTGGGTTTTCTCTTTTGCCCAATGCAATGTTGCAATGGGATTCATCTAGTAAAATTAATTAAAAAAAAAAAAAAAAGTAGTTCAAAATTCTGCCATCCTGCCATGTCTGAGAGAAGTTGACCTTCATTTGTCCCTTCTCTGATGATCCTTCACAATAGTCATGCTTAAAAAGATAAGAATTATACATATAAAATATCTCCAGGAACTTGCCATTAAATGCAATATCATACAGTAATAAAAAGGAATACCACACAATTGTTTTCTTCACATTTTTCACAATAACCTCCAACTGTACATTTGTATATGTATGTGTTTATATAAACAATATGTATGTGTAGTAAGAATGTATGAAAATGATACAGAATCAGAAAAGAGAAATACAGCACGAAGTATTTTGAGGCACTGGCAGGGACAGAGGAGAACAACTAAAAAAGTTCACAAAGACTGCATTTGGGAAGGACCAGCATTAAAAGCAAAGCCAAAGAAACTACCCGCCAATAAAGAAAAGATTTGTTTTGGCATCTTTGTCTCTTCAAACTATTATGTGCATATGGCATTTCCCTTGTGGCTTTATGAACATGTGCATTATTTATAGACCATAAGTGGCATCTTGGATAACAATATCTCATTTACTGGTGGTGTATGCATAATACTGCTGAAGATCTATTGACCTCCTATATGAGGTCTACGTGAGTTCACAGTTATGACAGAATAACAGCGTAAAACAGGGAAAGTGTCCGAGATACCTTTACTTACCTACACGTGCAAGAAACTTGTGCTTTAGTTTGTGTCTTGGAAAGTAATAAGCAGGTTCCCTCTGTCCAAAACTTTCTTCCAGGTGTGAGAGAGCTGCAAGATGGAAAAGCAAATATGGATTCAGATTTTAAAATTGTGTTGATTTGCATGACTGCATGTCATCATGCTCATAAATACATTTATGCATTATAATACAAATGTAATCAAACAACATTTCAGACTATAGCATCTCCTGTTCTCCTATTTCTGTAGTGGCTTCCCTGGCACTCAGCTGAAGCACAGGAATGGAATTGAAAGAGATGTATAGTCCCAAAAGTATTATCTCTTCCCTCCTAACAGATTATCATCTTGTCCTTTGTTTGGGAATTTTTTCTGTAGCAGGAGGGTTAGGATCTTTAAACTACCCCTGCAGCTCTGTTAAGCACAAATAAAAGTGATGATGGTCCATATCAAGTGTGAGGTTTGTACCCATATGGCTGCACTGTCCTTTCCTTCCTCCTCCAACATTTCCCTGCAGTCAGGTTGTCCCTGAACTGCTCACATTTTTTGTACTTTTTGCTTCACCCTGACTTCAGCATTTCTAATGTCTTTTTCCCCCAAATTACACTTTTAGCCTGTGTTTTGCACTAACAGAGATGTTAGGCAAGAAGAAAGTCCCTGAGAGACACTTAATTCCCCAAGTGACATATTATCAGGATGGGATGGGAACCATTCAGCATAGGAGAAGAGCATTTGGAAATGTCTAGAAGTTTCCTTTGGTTTGTCACCAGCTCCAGCATTTGAAGATGTAACGCACCTCTGAGTACATTTGTCTCTATCCTGTGGGGACCAGATAAAGTGCTTCCTGTCAGAGTCTGGTATCAATAGCACTCCGAGGGGTCTCACTGACCCTTATAGCCTGTGCTCAAGTGGACAAGCAGCCAGATGGTCACACATTTCAACATTCTTTCACTTTGTTTTTCCAACATTAGATATACATGGTATCATCTTTGGTCTTGCAGATCTAAAAGGGAACAGAGCTTCTGAAGAACAACTTACAAGAGAACTTATTGTATGTGTGGCATGAATTGATGCGGAGAATCTGTAAAAAAGTAAATCAACAAGCAAAGGGGAGAAAAATCCAGAAAGTGTTCTTCTTTCCACCACCAACCACACCCCCCCCCCCCCCCCCCACAGATTTTCTACCATTGTAGATGGTAAGCAAACAACATAAATTTAACACACAACTTTCAATTTATGAGATATGTATTCCTAATAGTCATCTTGAAGTGGGCAATTATGGTTATAATTCCAACAATTTGAAAAATTAGTGCCATATTCATTAGATGTTTCTGTATACCCAGTCTTTGTTGGACAAGCTTTAATTGAGGACACACTGTGAACTCGTTTTAATGACTCAAGGGTTATGAAAAGATTCAAATGCAAAAGGAAAAAAATAAAAAGAAATAGAAAAGAAAGGACAAAAGAGACAAAAGAAAAGAAGAAAAAAAAGGAAAGACAAAGGAACGAGAAAAAGGAACAGGAAAGACAAAGGCAAACGCGGAAAAGGAAAAGGGAAAAGAGGAAAATGGAAAGGGATAAGAGGAAAGAGAAGGGATCAAGGGAAAGGGAAAAGAGGAAAGGGAAGGGACAGGGAAAGGGAAATGGGAAGGGCACGGGAAAGGAACGGAAGGAAAGGGAAAGGTGCACGAGGAAAGGAAGAGGAAAAGAGGAAAAAGAGGAAAAAGAGAAAAAAAAAAGAACAAGAACAAAAACAAGAACAAGAGCAAGAACAAGAACGAAAAAGAAAAAGAAAAAAGAAAAGAAAAAGCAAAAGAAAAATAAACATACAACTACCACTACAAATCCCCATACACACTCCCCACAACCCCACCACCCTCTCACACTCCACCCCCGCCGCCCTCCCACTGCCCCTCGCCCGATCACCCTCCCCCTACGCCTACCCAGCCACCCTCACAATAAAAATAAAAGAAACTGTAAAAAGAACACTAAAAAGAAACGAAAAGAAAAAGAAAAAGAAAAGGAAAAACATATATAAAAAAACATCAAGTCCCAGTACTTGTAGTAAAGACTGAGACATAAATCTGAGAACTAACAAAATTGGTGCCATAGGCACTGTCTACAAGCTGAATCCTTGCTTTACTGATGGCAGGCTACCACAATAAGCCCCTCAAAAAACAGAAGATTTTCCAGTGCTCACAAGGAGCAAGCCAAGCCTGCGTCAGTGTTTGTCAAAACGATGAGCAGTTAATCTCATAACCTCAGCCTCATCATAGTGCTATTCAGAAATATGGAAAAGTGCATGCAGCTCTAAGCACGACAAGTTCTGGCTACATTAAAGAAGACAGATTTATGGGGTCTTATATTTGAGTAAGAGGAATAGACTGAGAAATAACAGTCTAGGAACCTGAGACCAGCCAATGGGCTATGAAACAAGTGTATAGCAGCATTTAACAGAAGGTAGCTTTTAATTACAGTGGCTAAGAGAAAGCATATAAAAATGTCAACATGCATCACTAAGTCAAAAAATCATACGGTTATCTGCTCTCTCCCATGACAGACTGCACATAGATTATATGTTTATGTCCTGACTTAAAACCTTGGATCAAAATCCACCCGAACTCTAGTAAAGTGTAGATCCATTGGAGAACTTCACAGAGGCCCCACCTGGCTTAACTCTGGAATTGGCTACACCAACTCCCCGACAGGATCTGGAACCAGATTTTGAGGCTTGGACCTGTCTCTCTGAGAACTGCAGATATTTAAGAAGTAATTCATCATGGTTAATTTTCAAATTTTCAAGCAAAGCAACTCAGTTTTCTTCCCAGGGAGGATTCGGTTTAATGAGATATTGTCTCATGACCAGACATATCATTTCCAGTGCCAAGGTCTACAACAAGGAGGTGGAGTGTAGCCTAACTTGTTAATTCTTGTCTAACTCTTACTTCATAAATAGACAAAAGCCTGAAAAAATATTTGCAAAACTATGCCTGATATAATGTATTTGACATTTTTCCTTTCATCATGTCATGTTGTATGTGCTCAGCCTTCACTCACTTCTGCTGGATATATCTTAGTATCTGGAGGTGTGTCTGCATATCAGTTTTGGATTCTTACTTTGGCACAGCCCCTCCTTGACCTAGCTGTCTGGTATTTGTAAGAGTTTTCAACCAACTCTACTTTATATCATAACTGCCCACATTACCTATCTTCATTTTTATTCTGAGCAGCCATACATCTGTGCACCACAGAAAACTGAAGACTGAATATCTCTAATTAGGAATTTAACTCCTTTAAAATGTTCTATATGGGATCATCACAATTATAGTTTACTGCTATTCCTACCATGGCTGCATGAGACTGAGATGGTTTCACTGCCTGACCTGTGGTTTCAAGGTGCCTATCTTGTTTTTCAGCTACCTCTGTCTCATCAGTGAGACTTATCTATATCTAGACATATCTATAATGTGATAAATATTTCTATATATAAAAGTTCCAAAGTGGTGTATTTTCTCCTCATCCACTCTGCCAGAATATAAACAAACATATAAATTAATAAATGAAATGGTAGTCTATGATTTCTTATATATATATATATATTAACCTTGAATCAAAAATAGACTGGATTTATGCAGAAAGAGGGGACGGGCATTACTGTGTGAATGCAGCAAGTCTGCATGCAATTCACTGGGTACTCGTGGGCAGCACATCCTTGCTGGCTGTGACCCATCTCCTGCAACGGCCCAGAGGGTTTGCAGAGGTGTCCTGCTCACGGGTTCTGAGGGTGGCAGGATGGGATGAATACAAGACCTCAGCACAGCTCGTAGCCTCTTCCCCTCGGGGAAGAAGAGGTCAAAAAGCAAGCAAGCAAGACTACCTTCACGTAGGCGTACATGGAAAACTATGTGCACATTCTACTGACATTGAATGTTACCCTAGCTCTTCATTCTGGGGTATAACCATAGGAATAGGAACCACCACAGCTACTGCCTTTGGATGGCCACTAGAGGGAAATATTGCTCTGTTAACAACACCATTTTGGAGTGACTTTACTGCATTTTCATCATTTTTTTTTCATTTCATATTTAGAGAAAACAGGTAAATTGTATGCTCTAACCTTCAATCATTTGCTTTGTGCTTTTTATAAGACAAAAATTCATAGTTAAAAATAAACGTTTGTTTCATAAAACACAGAGGTATATATTTAATCCAGTGCATGTGAGACTAGAATTAAGTTTATTTTTGGTAGTGCATGACTTTGTGTTTCCCCTTTTAGATAATGACTAATATCCTTCTGGAGTTTAATTTATTTATTTGTTGAAGGTTTGCAAGAGGAATTCAAGTTGTTACCCCTTTGTTGTCTGGGTATAAATGTTGGACACAATGGAATACTTTTTCCTGCGTTCCCAGGTAAAAATGCTATGGTTCAACACTGAGTAAGACTTCCAATAATTAAATTAATTAAATTACAGGTTTCTTGATTAAGGACTGCAGTCCCTGTCTCTAAGTCATTAAGCAACTCATTGAATCACACCGCAATAATAAATCATAGCATGATGTTCCAGTGTACACAGTCATTAAGCACTTTGGAGTGCATGACTTCCTGATATGATGTGTCTACATTTTAAAATAAACACATGCCTATATTCTCCTGTTGCTTGTGTACTGCAAGCACCTCCTGCTTGAGTGCCCAAAGTAGTGAGATGGATTGGCTAAACTCTAACAAAAAGTATGGTCAGCATTAAAGTGTCCAGAGAACAGCAACAGTATCAGGCATACCAGAAACGAGATGAAGACATTAACAAAAGAGGGCCTCCACAAGAAACATGAAATGCAATAAGGAGATTGTATTGCAGTGTCTGTATAAATATTTTTATAACTGGTAAGTGCTAAGACTAAAGAAAATTATGTCCTAATATTTGGAGCTTTTTTAAAAAAAAAATAAAATAAAATTATTCAAGGTGTTTCATTAAAAGAAAAATCTTTTAAGAACTATATATTCTTAAAACATTTTCACAGATAGTATTAAATCATCATTTTAATCATGACATAAATAACAACTAAGCATAACCCCAAAATTAATAACTTAAAAGCGCTTAGGTCTTGTGGGTTTTTAATACATATCATATATGTAATGTTTTTCTACTTTGATCTTACAGTAAGATCTGTGTCTTTATTATTTTCTATTTTGCCCACCCCTGTGAAGTATTCATATACTTTCTGATTTCACTCAGACAACAGTCCGGAGAGCCATCCTGCCACAAACTACTTCTGAGCTTGCCTAATGCTACAATAAAGCCTTCCTAGGTTATGTTATGCCAAGTTACTGTCAAGTACAACGATAAGTTTTGGATGCAACATCCACAGCTTATGAAAGCCCAGTTTTTATTTATTGCAGCATTTTGTGTACAGACAGTAGTGTTAATCACTTGGTAATGTTAGATGATGGAAGTTGTTAATTATTGGTAGTAATGAAAGAAGATGGAGGAGTTTTATTAAATTTGTTTTATACGGTCAATACCTCATATTTACTATTGGTTGAATATACATGCAAAATAAAACAACCAGATGAAATTTCCATTGCTTCTCACCTCAAAAATAGTGCTTTTGTTCTGTACAAGAAATACTTCAGGTTTAAGAATATACAGGATTAGCCAATCTTCTAGGAGAGATGGAGTGAAAAGTTAAATGTTAGCACTGGAATTCACCCCATCGATCAACAGTGCTTTCTGGTTGTTGCCTCCTCTCATACCCTGTGTGAGCCCCTGCCTTGCTTCCATCAGGCTGCTGGATCCAGGGGACAGTCAGACCACACCAGCCCTTTTAAAAAGACGAAATAAACCTCTTCAGCAGCATATTTGAGAAGTGTCAATACCTTGATTTCCATAGGCTTATTATTCACATTGCAGGTAGTTTCTGGAGAAAATCATACTGAAATAAGTGGCTCCATCACAGTGGGGGGGGTTGGTCTTTCATTTCCTGAGTTTGGATCTTAAATGCTTTTAGGCACTTATGTACCCTGGAGACACTTTTTACACTGTTCTGATGGGCACAGAACAAACACTAAAATCGACAAACAGATTAAAAAGCAGTACTCCCAGTGTGTGTTTTTTAAACAGTTATAAGGATAACAATTTCAATTTGTTCCACAATAAAACTACATTGTTTGCGATTTTTCCTTCTTATCAGTGCCATTTATTACTTGTATGGATCTGGTATATTAACATTTTTGTTAAGAAAAAGGCATCATTTTAAATACAAATTCAGTGAAGACTGTTTCTGCTTAGCTATAGAGAGTGTAATTTTTGCAGTAAGAAATCTAAACATAATAATTAACTTCTGTGAATAAAATCATCTCACTACCTTTGCACAGTTGGGAACTTTGGACTACAAGAGGCATTTACTTTATTTTTAGAAAATAAAGAAGTCAAAAAAGTCTTACTTGGTGTATAAGTAAAACACGATAGAAAACATATAAAATAGCAGTAATGGGGGGGGGGGAGGAAAAAAGTTGTAATTCACTCAGGTAGCATGACACAACAAGCATTATCAGAAGCCAATGTATTCTAATGTGTTCAAACATTCAGCCAGACTGTACCTTCCTACATATAATTCAGATTAACGCTTCAAAATATTTGTATTAACACTCCAATTTGAAAAGACCTTTCTATGCTAGCTTGACCCAGGCAGTCAATCAAACCACTTATGGGTTCATCACCATTATGTCTATATATGTATAAGCAGAAGTGCTCATACATGTATTTTCCTTAGTGTTACAAACTAACTTAAAAAATTCAGAGTGCATTGAAAAACAAATTTTATTCAAATAAATAATATTCAAACCAAGAGTGAAAGTAAGAAATTAATCATTTAACTGTTAATAGGAAACATTAGCAATATTATCAGTATTATAGGAAAATATTGTGACATTCACAATAAAATATATATTTATTTTTTTTAAACTCTGGATATTTGAGATAACAGAAATGAACCATGTACATTAAATTATGCTATCTGATCTCCTATGGAAAAATTTCAATTCAAGTTTGATTCATTAGGAAGGAAATTTCCTGTAAGATAGCCATCATTATCTAAATGTCTGGCATCAGACAATGGGAAACTAAAATGTAATAATGTCAGAGAGAACATTTGATCACATTTTCAGTGGGCTGTTCATATTACAAAAAAAAAAAAAAAAAAAAATCACTTTAGCTATAAAATGAGCCACTCATAGCTCTTTTCCCTGGACATTGCAAATCAGCCATCTAGAACATGCTCTGAGACTGACAACTTTCTTCCATATACGGGTAACATTTTAATTTTCCCTAGACCATATTTGAAATCTGTTATAAAATGTGAAGGAATCAAAATCCTTCCTTCTGAGCCAAAATGTTAAAAGCCAAGTGTTTTAAAACATAAGATGACCGAATGCCAGGCAGATTACGCACCTAAAGTTCCATACAGATGTACTCCACAGGCAAAATTTAAACTCTGTTTGGGTATGACTGAGAGGTCAGAAGGAAATCTTTTGCCTGGAAGGAGAAACATGCAGAGTGCACCTACCTTCTGTATATCCATTCATAAGCTCTGTGTCTGGATATGAAGAAATAGGAATATATAAATCAATTATGGAGTCTAGTGGAAAAAAAAAAAAAAAAAAAAAAGCTGCTTAAAGTTCACAAACCAAGGAGAAAAGCTAACATCTCATGTTATTTCCCCTTTTCTCAATGAAAACCACTGTAGTATGAACTGTGTATGTACTACAGCATGGTATAGCTCATGTAGGAGTAGCACACAACTTCAGGAATTGCACAAATGACTAGGAAAATGACCTTCCTTTCATAAACACACAATAGTATTAATTCACTTCAAGTTAGAGAGCTCATATTCAAGTTAAACCCGTCTGCATGGCAGATGAATCTGACCATGGTGTATTCATGATTTTCCAGGCAGGAAAGACATGCTTGATCCAACATGAATTATAATGATCTATGATGGCTAGACTTCATTCAAAATAGGCATTTGTCAAGCACATTTTTTTAGACATTTCCTACATAAGTGTAAAGTACAGTAGTCTCCGGAAGACTTGTCTTAAATGTACTGAACAGCTGCTTTTAATGAGTTAAAATGAACTCCCATTAAGGAACGTGAGGCTGGCATAATATGGCCCTAATGCATCAAGAGAGGAGTCATCGTGACTCTATAATCTGTACAAAGTACTACATGTAAGATGTAGAAGCTCACCTATAATCTCTGAAAAAAAAGGAAATTATTATCTACAGACTTCATGGTCCTTGGACAGAAGACTGTTGCCAACTCATCTAGGAAGTGTTGAAAGTTATGAGTGATTTCTTCACTCGAAAACTTTTAATTTTCTTCATTTCACTAGTACAGAAAAGATGAGTTTTCTTCTATTGTCAGTCCTAACACAGAAGCAAAGAAATTTGAGTTAAGAACACAATCACAGAGATGACTGCTGTGTCCCAGTTACTGAGGACATACAGCAGTATGGACCCTTACTGCACTTCTCAGTGTCACAACAGGAATGAATAAAAATTCACAATGTGCTCCTCAAAGCTACCTTCTGACCAATGTTAATGAATGACCTTAAACTTTCTTTGGTCAGTTACATATCCATCATTTTATAAATATCAAATAAGCTTCACTAGAAGCCTGAGAGGTGAAGAAGAGAGCTGTAATTTCCCAATTTAGAGATAAAATTGAGGAGTCTGCAATACTAATTTCACCATATAAGCACTGTGCCTTAACAAGCCATGTGTTAATTGAAAACGTTCTTTATTTCAAAGAAGAATATCAAATGAAAGAAGTAAGACGACAGGCCTACCATGACTACCTCAGAAATGTCAGAACATAGGACCAACCATGATCCCTGTTTTCCTGCTGTTCTGTCTAGGCTCAATAAGACATTCACACGTTTAACCACATTTAACCTGGTTTTGGACAGCCCAATAGCTATCTAAAAATTCAAAATCCTTCTCAGATGGTAGCAGTAGATGTTCAGGTCAGGCCCACATGTGCAGAGGCAATGACTTCAATTCATCCCAGCAAGGATGACCATATTCTATGTGTGCAGCAAAATCATTCTGTACCTGTTACAAATTTTGAACACACATGACATACCTAATATGGTCTTGGCTTCTCTTCAATACATGCAGAGTAGATCCTTGTGGTGGTTTTATCCTCCTGGGCAGCTGAACTCCGCCACAACTGCTCTCACACTTGGACAGAAAGATCATTCATCAATTATCATCACGGGTGAAACAGACTCAGCATAGGGAGATTAATATAATGTATTGCCTATCTCTAGCAGACTAGAGCAGTGAGAAACTACAACCAAACTGAGGGCATCTTCCCCCTTCCACCCTCTTCTACCTTCCCCTCCCCCCCGGCCACCACGTGGCACAGGGCAATGGGTGTTGTGGTCAGTCCATGATGCTTCATCTCTGCCATTCCTTCAAAGTCACTGTCCCTGCTCCATGTGGGGAGCACTCCCACTGGATGCTGTCTTTCCTGAACTGATCCTGTGTGGGCTTCACACAGGCAGCAGCTCTTCAAGAGCCGCTCCAACACGGGTCCGTAACACAGGGTCCATTCCCTAGGAGCAAACTGCTCCAGCACAGGTCCCCCTCAGGAAGCAGCTCCCCCCAGACCCCCTGCTCCTGCATGGGCTCCTCTCCATGGGCTGCAGCTCCAGCCCAGGGCCTGCTCCTGCAGGGGCTCTCCATAGGCTGCAGCCTCCTCCAGGACACATCCACCTGCTCCACCAGGGGCCTCTCCAAAGGCCACAGGGGAGCTTCTGTTGTGTGCCTGGAGCACCTCCTGCCCTCCTTCTGCACTGACCTTGGGGTCTGCAGGGCTGGTTCTCTCACATTTTCTCTTTCCTCTCTCTCCCAGCTGCTATATCACAGCAGTTCATTTTATTATTATTGTTATTATTTATATTTATTTTATTTTTCCTATCTGCTCTCCCAGAGGCCCAAGCAGTGTCTCTCACTGGCTCGGCTCTGGCCAGTGGTGGGTCCCTTTGGAGTCGGTTGTAACTGACTGTTATCTAACATGGGACAGCTTCTAGGATCTCCTCAAAGAGGCCACTCCTGGAGCCCTCCAGCTACTAAACGCTTGCCATGTAAACCTGATACAGTCCATTGTATCCAGAGGCTTTGGACTCACCGCACATACAAACATATATGCATGCCTATCCAAACTAATACATTGGAATCCAAACTGAATGACAATTCTTAAGGGTCTTACATAATAATGATAGTAAGTAAGGCTTTATGTTATGTACTGTGTTGAAAATCTAATATTTCTTTTCCCTTGGAATCAAAAATTTTGCATAATAAACTGAAACACTAGTCATGTAAAAATAAACAAAATAAATAATAATAATGATAATAAAAAGTCTTTAACTTCAGGAAACACTTTCTTCTTGAGAATGTGTGTGTGTATGGAGGGCTATGGATCTGTCAATCAAAGGAATTCAACTTAAAAACACAGCCTGACAAACAGAAGAGAAGGTTTCCTAAAAATCACACTGTCCTCATGCAGAAATTCTGCAAAACTATTATGTAACTCCCATACAAACTTAAAGAGTTCGGCATAAGACAGTTACACCACTGTGAACATTGGGAATATACCCTACTTTTTATAGTAAAGCTCAAAACACTTTTTTATGCTTCCATGATCTGAGAGCTTCTGAAGAAGGCATGGTGCTGATATTTCTGCAATTGAACAACTATAATTCAACAGTAAGATCATATTCCTGAGTACCTTTTACCTTCCTAAGTATTCATGAATCAAAACTGTATGGAAGCAGTTTGTACTTACCCCTTTTTGTTACACATGGATATCTATGCAACCATAAGTAGTACACACTTATGGACAGCCATACCACATCTGATCCTCTTTCTGGCTGCAGACGGGTCCCTGTCTCTAAGGGGAAAATGGATCCTGGGCCAGGAGCTGGCAGGGCTCATTGAGAGTGCTTTAAACTAGGTGAGAAGGGGGATGGGGCTGAAACAAGGCTTGTTAGAGCTGTGCCAGGGGTTACAATGGCAAAGTTGGGAGAGAAGGCAATGGCCCAACTGAAGTGCATCTACACTAATGCACGCAGCATGGGTAACAAACAAGAGGAGCTGGAAGCCATCGCACGGCAGGTAGGCTACAACTTGGTTGCCATCACGGAAAAGTGGTGGGACCACTTTCATGACTGGAGTGCTGCAATGTCTGGCTATAGGCTCTTCAGAAGGGACAGGCAGCATGGAAGGGGTGGTGGTGTGGCTCTCTATACCAGAGAGAGTTTTGATGTTGCAGAACTTGAGGCTGGGACTGGTAAGGTTGATTCCCTATGGGTTAGGATCAGCGGGAAGGCCAACAAGGCAAGCATCCTGGTGGTGGTCTGTTATAGACCACCAAACCAGAATGAGGAGACTGATGAGGCAGCTACAGCTGCTACAGGCAGCTGACAAAAGTTGCGAAATCGTCAGTGCTTGCTCTTGTGGGGGACTTCAACTTCCCAGATATATCCTGGAAGCACAACACAGCCCAGAGACAGCAGTCTAGGAAGTTTCTGGAGAGCGTGGAAGACAGCTTCCTGACATAGCTGGTTAATGAGTCTACCAGGGGAGATGCCCCACTGGACCTTCTCCTCACAAACAGAGAAGGACTGGTGGGAGATGTGGTGGTTGGAAACTGTCTTGGGCAGAGTGACTATGAAATAGTAGAGTTCTCCATTCTCGGAGAAGCCAGGAAGGGGACCAGTAAAACCGCTGTATTGGACTTCCGGAGGACCAACTTTGAACTGTTCAGGACACTGGTTGGTAGAGTCCCTTGTGAGGCGGTTCGGAAGGGCAGAAGAGTCCAGGAAGGCTGGGCGCTCTACAAGAAGGAAATCTTAATGGCGCAGGAATGGTCTGTCCCCAGGTGCCCAAAGACTAGCCAGCCGGGAAGAAGACCAGCCTGGCTGAACAGAGAATTTTGGCTTGAGCTTAGCAGGAAAAAGAGGGTTTACAATCTTTGGAAAAGAGGGCGGGCCACTCAGGAGGACTATAAGGATGTTGTGAGGCAGTGCAGGGACAAAATTAGAAAGGCCAAAGCTCATCTGGAGCTCAATCTGGTTACTGCCATCAAAGACAACAAAAAATGTTTTTACAAATACGTTAATGCAAAACAGAGGACTAAGGAGAATCTCCATCCTTTACTGGATGCGGGAGGGAACTTAGTTACAAAAGATGAGGAAAACATGAAGGTGCTTAATGCCTTCTTTGCCTCAGTCTTTAGTGGCAAAACCAGTTGCTCTCTGGATACCCAGTACCCTGAACTGGTAGAAGGGAATGGGGAGCAGGATGTGGCCCTCACTATCCATGAAGAAATGGTTGGCGACCTGCTACGGCACTTGGATGTGTGCAAGTCGATGGGGCCAGATGAGATCCATCCAAGGATACTGAGAGAACTGGCAGAGGAGCTGGCCAAGCCGCTTACCATCATTTATCAACAGTCCTGGCTATCGGGGGAGGTCCCAGTTGACTGGCGGCTAGCAAATGTGACACCCATCTGCAAGAAGGTCCAGAGGGCAGACCCAGGAAACTATAGGCCTGTCAGTTTGACCTCAGTGCCAACTCATGGAACCTCATGGAGCAGATTATCTTGAGCGTCATCACATGGCACTTACAGGGCCACCAGGTGATCAGGCCCAGTCAGCATCGGTTTATGAAAGGCAGGTCCTGCTTGACGAACCTGATCTCCTTCTATGACAAAGTGACATGCTTAGTGGATGAGGGAAAGGCTGTGGATGTGGTCTACCTTGACTTCAGCAAGGCTTTTAACACCGTTTCCCACAGCATTCTCCTCAAGAAACTGGCTGCTCTTGGCTTGGACTGGCGTATGCTTCGTTGGGTTAGAAACTGGCTGGATAGCCGGGCCCAAAGAATTGTGGTGAATGGAGTCAAATCCATCTGGAGGCCAGTCACTAGTGGCGTTCCCCAGGGTTTGGTACTGGGGACAGTCCTCTTTAAAATCTTTATCCATAATTTGGATGAGGGCATCAAGTGCACCCTCAGTAAGTTTGCAGATGACACCAAATTAGGTGCGTGTGTCGATCTGCTCAAGGGTAGGAAGGCTGTACAGGAGGATCTGGATAGGCTGGACAGATGGGCTGAGGTCAACTGTATGAAGTTCAACAAGGCCAAGTGCCGGGTCCTGCACCTGGGGCGCAATAATCCCAAGCAGAGCTACAGGATGGGAGATGAGCGGTTGGAAAACTGCCAGGCAGAGAAGGACGTGGGAGTATTGGTGGGTAGTCGGCTGAATATGAGCCAGCAGTGTGCTCAGGTGGCCAAGAAGGCCAACGGCATCCTGGATTGCATAAGAAGCAGTGTGGCCAGCAGGTCTAGGGAAGTGATCATCCCCCTGTACTTGGCTCTGGTGAGGCTGCACCTCAAGTACTGTGTTCAGTTTTGGGCCCCTCGCTACAAGAAGGACATTGAGGTGCTCAAAAGAGTTCAGAGAAGGGTGACAAAGCTGGTGAGGGGACTGGAGAACAAGTCCTACGAGGAGCGGCTGAGGGAGCTGGGTTTGTTCAGCCTGGAGAAGAGGAGGCTCAGGAGCGACCTTATCACTCTTTATAAGTACATTAAAGGAGGCTGTAGCGAGGTGGGGGTTGGCCTGTTCTCCCACGTGCCTGGTGACAGGACGAGGGGGAACAGGCTAAAGTTGCGCCAGGGGTCTTTTAGGTTAGATATTAGGAAGAACTTCTTTACAGAGAGGGTTGTGAGGCATTGGAATGGGCTGCCCAGGGAAGTGGTGGAGTCACCATCCCCGGAGGTCTTTAAAAGACGTTTAGATGTTGAACTTAGCTATATGGTTTAGTGGAGGACTTGTTAGTGTTAGGTCAGAGGTTGGACTTGATGATCTTGAGGTCTCTTCTAACCTAGATAATTCTGTGATTCTAGGTGGTTCCATGTGTTTAACAACTGGTAATGAGTGTCTCTAACCAATTTTTGAGCTCTCTTATGATTTTGACTGATTTATGTGATTTTTATGATTTTTTGTCACGTGGCATTGAGTCCCACAGTTAATTTTGTAATGTGAAAAGTACATTTTGCTTGTTTTAAGTTTTTGGCTTCATTAATAATTCTTTTAAAATTTTCACCTCATTTACAATTTTGTTGACCTCTAGTATGTCTCTTCATTGCTGTATCTTTCCTGAACAGAAAAGCCC